TCAATACTGAAACAATTATATATAATCATGAAAATTGTAGTAACTGGATTAGCTACAAGCGCGATTTGACAAACAACGTTTGTTATATGCTCTTTTATGGGTATACATTATTTTTTCCAAAGGGTGGAATTGTTTGGTATTTTAACTATAATAGGTTGTTACTCATGTCCCTATAACTGTATTAGTTTTCAAATTAACAGCTAAAAATTATCTGATCTTAAATGATTTGAATTTGGATCATTTCAAATATCTTACTAGAATAAGAAGATAACTAATATTTTTGTTTCTAATCAAAAGGAACAATTGATTGAACTGGAGATCAACGTTTGGGGAAGGGTTTTAGGTCCTCTGTATAATATGCTTAACAAGATTTCCCTGTTAAAACACAGGTAAGCCAAGTTACTGGAAAAAAAAAAAAAAAAAAAACTTTTAGTCCAATTAAAGATTTGCTATATATAAGATGCAGGCAAAAAATCATACTAGGAAAATTTTAGTTGAAGGTCATGTTTTTAGATCGCTTTATTTTATTTTTCTTTTCGAGTGTGGAAGATATTAGTCGTCATATTGTACCACTAGCTCTAAGTTGGCACCACGTGGAACATTTGGATCCTTCCCACTTGACTGATGCTATATATCGTCATGGTGATTATCATCGATCTAGATGACAGTGACAATCCCTGCAATTCTTTCAATGTTGTACCTATTGTCTTTGCTTGGGTCGTAAAAATCTCTTTCTATACCTTCATTGATTGGATGTTAGACAACGTATTTCCTAAGTTAGCATTTTATTTTTGCACTTCAGTATAATAAATTCTTCACACGAGTGGTTTGATTGAAGAAGAATACCCTTATCCTCTTTTAAATTTTCCTTTAATAATTTAGTGATGTTTGGAATGTTACCGTACACAAATTAGAGATTTTGAAATCGTTGAAGATCTTGTTTTCTAATGGCACGTGGCAAACGAAGAGGAGTCAAGATAGATATTTGTCTCGTGGGAGGCCCTTACGGTTCCTAAAGGGTACTTAAAATGAAGTTTTTGGATTTTGCTTCCCTACGAAAGTGATGTATAGATTTTAGGGTTCACAGATTTTTTTTTTGTGCCACTTGTAAGCTTCTTATTGGCCTTTTGTAATTATAAAATTGTAATTATATATGTAATTTTTCAAACAAATTCCATTTTCCGTAAAATATTTTAGTCTTTCCATATATTTTTATTCGTGCAAATCAACACAGGAAAAGATTATTGAACATTTCATTTGATGAAAGATCATTTATAATAGCTCTAGCAACAAGAAATACGTAAATCAAAATAACCAACTTTTGAGTGACCTAATTAGTTATTTGTATGTAACTTTCTTGTGCATGAGCTTGTTGTTAAACTCCCTCTTGCATTGCGTTTGGTATATTTCTAACTCACTTAAAAGAACACTTATTTGTTTGTTTGACTCATCTGATCATCATCAATCACTTCTCTCTATGAGGTGCATCAATAGATGTCATTCTCTATTATAAGTTTTAAGTTCAACTTCAACTAGAAATTTGAAAATCCTTCCGTTTTCTTTTTCTTATACTCATCCTCTTCCTAAGTTCAAGAACAGCCTCTAAAGATTAATTAGACTGGTATTCTTAAAAGAAAATACACCTTCAATAATTGTGTTATTTGAAATTCTCCTAATATTAGAATTAACAACCTACTTTTTATGAATGCTATTATGGTGGATCTCTTCAATTTTCCAAATTTGTTTAGAATTTTTAGTGTTGTGTTTAACCTTCATTCGGCTCAATATACATATAAAAAAGATAGTTTGGCATACTTAATATTCATTTGTTTTTGAAGTGCTGGCCATCGCTACTGATTGACCAAGTGCCATTAAAGGCATTTTTGTGGATCTCTTCAATTTTCAATATTTGTTTGGAATTTTTTATGTTGTCCTTAACTATCTTTTGGCTCAATATACATATAAAAAAAAGGGTTTTAGATTAGGCAGAATATTTATTGGTTTTTGAAGTGATGGCCTTTGCTTAGTGCTTGGCCAAGTGCCTGATTAAAAGGAATTTTTTCTTTTTATATCAACTGTCATACTATCACAAATTTTAGTTCATTAATCATGTCCAGTACAGCTTATAGTTGGAACATATTTATGATGTTTAATAAAAAATCCTCACCATTCTTGAAGATATCTGTGGGTTAGTCATCTTTTAGCTAAATGAGCTCGTCAATGGAAGCTGCAAGACCACTGGTTTCTTTTGGAGGTTGAAAGTTGACATCATTGAGTTATTTGGAAGACATTATGAATGAAAAAGAGTGGTGCATTATTTTTGTTTGGTTAATGGTGAAGATAATGGATGAATTTGTCTACAAGTGACATAAGAATATCCAGTTGGGATCAAAGAATAGAATGCGGAGAAAAACCAAGAAAGATGAGAAGAAGTGGTCCTATCTTCACGTATGGTCATCTATCAATCCAGGTAATTGCCCATGCTCATGCTTTAATTCATACGCCACTTTCTAAATATTGCTGTTTTGTTTGTACTTTCCAGTTTCCCCACATTTTTGGTTTCCTATCTTGTCCACCTACTTACTGCGTGTTTCTGTGTTGTATTATGTAACATGTATATGCTTACATATGTATCCAAGGTCAATAGCAAAAGTGACTATTCCTGCAGTATCTTTAATTTGCATAATTTTAGCATAGCTTTCAATGAATTTGCTGCAGAAAACTAAAAATGACAGCTTGTTTCAACACATGTTCTGATTGTGCTGGAAATTGTTATTAACGTTGTTATTTTTACCAACAATTACCACTTGATCGAAGCATTTTTACTGGATTACCTCTGCAGTTAGTTGTGGTATGCATTAGTTAAGAAAATTATTTAAACTTCATTATTATTATGATCCCGAATGCTTTGCAATTTGACTATGTTATCTACCCCACTTGTAGCATTTAGTTAACTAAAAAGATCAAATTTATGAGATGCCTATACTGCGTACTTAGATGATGTTCATCCACAAACGCAGTTTATCGCTGACCAATACGCTGCTCATCATCTAGCTATTGCATTTGTTTTTCTTGTTGCTGGTCATATGTATTGAACAAAATTCAGGATTGGACACAACATCAAAGATCTCTTAGATACATATATTCCTCCTTGGGACCACTGAGACAAGGGCATAAGGGTCTTTAAGATACAACCAATAATTCACTTTATTTTCAGTTAGGTTTTGCTCGAACTTCTTTTAGAATTAGTACTTCTTTGCCAGCTCAACGCATGTACTCTTTGCCTTCTTATGTTTTCAGAACATACAACTTTACTACTCAAGTGGGTTATATACTCATTTCCAATACATCGCAGGATTCACTAGGATTTTGGTGTAGCACAGCCAATTCTTTTTAAGTGAAAGATTATTGTGGTTTCCAATTTCCACTGTTTTTTCAATACTCCTACTTTGCTGGACACTTTTCAGCTTCACTTTCACTTTCACTTTCATTGGCCAAAATAAATTACATACAATCAAATTTCATTACTAAATATCACATTGGCTTGATTCAGTGTCAAATTTCCTTCCAACACTTGCCAATTGTTTTTCTTACCACCCAAATCTCTCACTCCCTCTCCATATGCAACTAGCAAAGGCGTGTGGACTCCACACTCATCTCACTTGATGATGTCCACTGAATTCATGGCTGGTAGAGTGTTTAAGTACACCTGAGTGCTTACTGGTATGAACTGTATTCTCTCCATTTATGGCATATAATTAGCAATTTTCGAAGTCAACCTTTATTTATATACTCTAAATTTCCAGGGCATTCTGATGATGAAAGGAACTGTTTCATTGTGCTGCATGAATTAGAAATATTTAAAGATTTTGCGAGAGTAAGACTACCTATATCAGTCGTATTCAGAATGCCGGCTCCTCTTGCTCCATATCCAATGGTCTCAGCACCTTTTACGCCACCCGCCAATGGTATAATATTCAATTCAATTTTTATTTAACCTGCAGATGCCAGATGGTAAGTATGATGAACCTTTTTTCTCAAGAAATTGAGGGTGATTCATTGACTGGCGAGTAAGAAACTGGATATATAAGACAACAAAAAGATAACAAAATTCCATACCTTTATTCTTCTCTTCTCATTAATGAAATCAGGATTAATTGAGAGAGCCGAATGTAAATTGAAATACATCATAACCAAATATTGAAAAAGATAGATAGATCCTTCAACATTTTCCTCAGAAATAACAATTTATTAATTCTTGAGACTGCAACAGAGCATATTAGTGCTCTGCTTTGTGGATTACATAGTACTTATGATGGTTATCAGGTGCACAAAGCCAGCTTGTGTGCTCAGGTTGTCAAAACCTTTTGCTCTATCCAGTTGGAGCGACTTCTGTATGTTGTGCTGTATGCAATGCAGTCACATCTGTGCCTCCTCCAGGTATACATCCAGACTTGCCCTCAGAATCGAATGTTCAATTCAAATATGTTTTGATGACTCTAATATTCATCTAAGTGCCTAATTAAATAGTTGTCATAATCATCTAATTGAACTTGAGCAGGCACTGAAATGGCTCAATTGGTTTGTGGAGGCTGCCACACTTTACTAATGCACATTCGTGGTGCAACAAGCGTGAAATGTTCTTGTTGCCACACGATCAATCTAGCTTTGGAAGGTACAAATATATCTAACTGTGTTTTTCCCATCTTTTGAAATATCATAAATAACAAGTGTGTCCATTGTGAAAGCAAATCAAGTAGCACATGTGAATTGTGGGAATTGCCGAATGCTGTTGATGTACCAGTATGGGGCACCTTCTGTAAAATGTGCAGTTTGCAATTTTGTGACATCGGTCCTGGTAAGCATGAAATTTACTTCATATATAATGTTTCTTAGTTTCTTGTCATTGATCTGCTCACTGCATCGGCATATATCCTTCCAAAGTTGCGATCTTTATATATTCTTTAGCATACAATTGCTTCCTACTTTGTGTTTTTATCTAGTTTAACTCGTGTTTTAATGAATGCTACAGGCTTCAGCAAACAGCACTGAACAAAAGTTCAACAGCTAACTCTGAAAGAGTGTGTTGGATCTAAGAAAATCTACAATTTCAGTTCCCATCCTACGTTTATTCAGCAATTGAATGCGTCATAACAAGTACATGTACAGAGTTATTTTCTTGTCGAGTTATGTAATATATGAAATAACAAAAGTTTCCTGAATTGAATCTATAAGAAACACTACAGGGAAATTGGAGAGTTGTTACAAATATAAAGGCTACGAGTTTTCTTAGTTATTGTTTTTCAACACAAGGGTGTCGAGATATAGGGTATTTGATCTGTGAACCGCGTTTCAGTGTCTTGCACTCACTCTTAAAACTGCCAGAATTGGATGATTAGTTGATATTTACCTTCAACCACTTTAAAGTCTGTTGGACTGCAACACTAAATGATTCTTGAACATATGTAGAGATGACATGAACAGGGGCAGGTCCAAGGATTTATGTTGCTAGGACTGAAATTTAAGGAAGTCAACGTAATAAAATTTAAATATATTATAGATCTCATTGAATGATTATCTTTTTTGAGCCCAATTTTTCTGAAAAAATGCATTTTTCAACAGTATTTTAACATCATTTTAACCACACATTCTTCAATAAAATAATATTACACTCAAATAAAAAAAAATTCCTTATTTTTTAATCATACATATTCTATCAAAACACTATTCAAAAATTCATCCTCTTTCCCAAAATGGGGTTCAAACAAGGGCGATATAATAGAAAAGCTCAGCCCTAGAACTTGACCTCTTATACTAGAAGGAGATGGAGTTCATATTAAAGTTGTTCCAACAAGGTTTTGAAGCATGAAATTCATCTATAATAGAATTTATATTCTATTTTCTAAAACAAATTCTCATTTGATAAAGAGTGTCATAATCAGCAATAAAGTCATTTCCCATTTTGTTATGAAGTGCCATTTTCATATGTTTCTTTATTGAAAATTCTCATTGCAATGCTAAGTCAACAAGACAGCAACAATCCAATAATAAGCAAACAGTTCAGTTTGATATAAACTATTATGAATAACAATTTGCAAATAAATTTTTAAAAAAATACTAATGTAGTATATCTTAAAATCAATTAAGATACCATCAAAGAAGGGATTTTAAAAGAGCAAATGATGTTAATAGCTAGCTACAAGTATGCATCTTCCTTTTAGAAAAATTAAGACGCTTACCCTTTCAATTGTAACTATTGTTCGATAAATTATTCTTGACAATTTTTAAGATGGAATAAATAAAATATATGTGCAATAAAATATTTTATGAATAAAAAAAAAGTTGAAAAGAAAATACCTTGTAACACACCCCCCTGTTGTGATTCTCCGATCACGAGAAGAGAATAAAAGAGGAAAACAATTCTATTACTACTTGAATAGAATTTACAGCGGAGTTTACAAACTAAAAAAAAACCTATCAAAAGAGTCTCTCTAATCTCTCACTTCTCTATCCTATTTTTCTTCCTCTCAAGGGACATACTAATTCTCTTTATGGTAGCATATATTTAAAGAAAACTCTTGGCTACAAACCGTCATAAACTTGTGGCCAAAAATCAATCAAGAATTGCGGTTAGAGAATTTCATTTCAAATTGTCTTCTTGCATAGATTTCTTCTCCATTAAGCAATTAAAGTTGTGGCTGTCAAAAGGTGGAGAGTTTTAATTCAAATTTTCTTCTTCATCCATGCATGTGGATTCTTCTACATTAAGAAAATGAAATTCAACAATTTCGACTGGAAGAAGCTAGAAGAAACTTGATTAATATGCGGCTGGAACACATCAATTCTCTCACTCCAGTCGTATTTGAATCAATTGCTATCTGACAACCAACCCAGCTATGTCTCTGCATAGCTCTAGCTTCTCCCTTAGAACCACCTTTGTTAACATATCTGCTGGATTCTCATTTGTGTGAATCTTTACCAGTCTCAACAACTGTTGATCCATCACTTCTCTTATCCAATGATAGCGAATGTCAATGTGCTTTGTTCGAGAGTGATACATTGAGTTCTTACTCAAGTCAAGAGCACTCAGGCTGTCACAATGTACTTTATAATCTTTCTGCTTGATCCCTATTTCTTGGAGAAATTGCTTTAACCACAACATTTCTTTACCTGCTTCTGTCGCTGCAATATATTCTGCTTCTGTTGTAGATAAAGCAACACACTTTTGTAGTCTTGACTGTCATGAATCAGCTCCCCCTGCAAAAGTGTAGAGAAATCCTGAAGTAGATTTTCTACTGTCAAGATCTCCCGCCATATCTGAATCTGTATAACCTTCCAAGATTAGATCAGCTCTCCCGTAGCACAGACATATCTTTGATGTACCTCTAAGGTACCTGAGAATCCACTTGACTGCCTCCCAATGTTCATTTCCAGGATTAGAAAGAAAACGACTCACCATGCCTACTGCATGGGGCAATATCTGGCCTTTTACATACCATGACATACATCAGGCTTTCAACTGCTGAAGAATAAGGTATCAATGACATCTCCTATATTTCTTTCTTGGATGAGGGGCATGAATTTTTGCTCAACTTGAAGTGGTTGGCCAATGGAATGTTGACAGGTTTGGCATTATGCATGTTGAATATCTTAATCACTCGTTCAACATACTTCTCTTGGGATAGCCACAACCTTCTATTCTTCCTATCTCGAGTTATATACATTCCCGAAATCTGTTGAGCTGGGCCTAAGTCCTTCATGTCGAAGAACTTGGAGAGTTCCTTCTTTAGCTGCCTGATTTTTGTTGCATCTTGTCCGACGATCAGCATGTCGTCTACATAAAATAGAAGAGCAAAAAAATTACCATCCGAAAAGTGTTGAATATAAACACACTGATCCGCAGAGTTCTTTTATAGCCTTAACTCACCATGAAAGAGTCAAACTTTTTGTACCACTGCCTGAGTGCTTGCTTAAGACCATATAAGTTCTTCTTTAGCTTGCAAACGAAGTTTTTTTTCCCTGAAACTTCAAAACCTTCTGGCTGCTCCATGTAAATTTCTTCATATCAATCACTATGAAAAAATGCTGTTTTGACATCCATCTGTTCAAGCTCTAGATTCAGACTGGCTACTAATCCAAGGATAACTCGAATTGAGGCCATTTTTACAACATGTGAAAAAATCTCGTCAAAGTCAACTCCCTTCTTCTGAAGAAATCCTTTGACTACCAAACGGGCTTTATGTTTTACCACCTTTCCGCTGCCATCTTTCTTAAGCTTGAAAACCCATTTATTCCTTAATGTCTTCTTTCCCTTCGGAAGCTCAACTAATTCATATGTTTAATTTTTCTGCAGTGACTCCATCTCATCCTGCATTGCTTGTTTCCACTTGTCTTTGTCCACATGAGTTTGTGCTTCCTGAAAACTCTCCGGCTCTCCTTCGTCAGTGAGCAAAAGGTAGTCTGGTTCTGGATATCTCGTTGATGGAATCCGTCCTCGTTCAGATTTTCTTACCTGTGGATCGTTGATTTCAGGAGTTGCATCATCATCTGGCTGATGTGATGGTCCAACAACTTCTGGTGAAGAGGATTGTGACTCCCCTTGATCAATATTCCCTTCTTCATCCTCTTGTTCTGCTTCCAACATTTTCTCATGCACATCGTCGTTATCTATGGTGAATTGTGTT